GTTTCCAGGGAATTGGTTGGGAGGGAGGCCTTCAAGAACCCATGGGCCACATGGGCGCCTGATTCTATAGGTGTTATTTGGTGTCATTTGTGTGTTCTTCCATCCCTTCTTTCACTTTCTATGGTGATTTTTCTGGTAAGTGTGGCTGTGATGCGCCTAAGGCTTAGACATTGGGCAGATCTTTGTCAGCGCTGCTGGTCCATTGGAGTACTTCCATTGGAGGTCCCCGCAGATGGGAACTGCATGGTGTGGTCATTGCAGGTCTTGCAAAGAGGGCCAAAGATTGAGGACACGTTCTTCCAAGGACCGAGAGCAAACAGGAAGCAACGACAGATGCGTCGTACCTTGTCAAATCTGTGGCAGGCAGCTGCAAGCGACATCACGTGGCAAGCAATTTTCAAGTTCTTTGTCCTAGAGGAAGATGTGGAGTCTGAGTCGGAGGACGAGCAGATGCGAACAACACCACAGAGGGAAAAGGCAGCTCCTGCTCATCCTCCCGATTCTTCTCCGGGCATGAATGATATGTTGAAAACTCCACCCAAGCCAGCAGTTCACAGGCACGATGGCAAGCGAAGACGGCTTGATGTTGTTGAGGGTGCCAAGCCTGTCCCCTTCGTTGCGAGGGCAAGCCCTCCATCTCCAAATTTGCGGAAGCGGGGGCACAACGATCTCACTGGCAAGAAACGAGCCGTCTATCAATCTCTGGATCCAGGGGTGCCAGATCTAGAGGAAGCCAATCATATGGCCAAACAAATGTTGCCGAGGTCAACCCCGGCAGATGATATGAGTGTCGATGAGGTCGGCTTGAATGAAATCAGTGAAGCAGACCTGATCAAAGCCAAAGAGGGGGAACGAAAACGAGCAAGGCATTCCCGTGCTGTCAAGTCCCGGCAACCCACACCGTTGGAGCTGCGCCACAAGCGCTTGGCACGATGGCTTGCAGGCAAGGGTGCGACGTATGCTGCATTTGCGGCCAAGCACCGCTTTGCTCCAAAATGCAAAAAGAGTTTTGTGTGCAAGGATGGCGGCTTCTCCGCTTTCAAAACCAATCTCATCAGAGCACAGGATCCAACTTGCGAAGTTTGCCAGAAATTTGCAGAGACATGTGGCATCAAGACCTTTGAAGCCAGGGACTTTTTTTACAGTTCCTTGGCAGAGCCAGAGCCTGTGCCTGCGCTTCATGAACCAGAGGAACCAGAGGCAGCGAAGGATGATGCGCCAGATGATGAAGACGAAGAGGATCCGGACGCAGAATACAAACGTGTAGTGGAGTATGTTGAGTCGAAGGCTCCGGTGATCAAGCTGTTGCCAGGGTTTCCGTTGAAATACCAGTGCCTTGTGCGCAAGACGCAAAATCAGCCCACGGGCAAGATCAACAAGCTTGGGGACCCTCCTACGCTCAAGGCGGCCAGGTACTTTCTCCAACAACATCTTGAAACACCCACTCACATTGGAAATGTGAGGAAATTTGAGCTCTCCAACAACACGCAGACGGTAGAGACCCATTGTCCTGGATATTGTGTGTCATCGGAACAAAAGTTTGGTGTCCTGGCCAAATACCATGCTGAGTTCCGCTTGTGGGTGCAGTATTCCAAGCTTGACTCAAAAATTGTCAAGCACACCTATTGGTGTGATCGGACAACAGATACCTGGTATGTTAGGCATTTCCAGTGTGCCAAGAGGATGCAACAAGGCCCATGTTGCGATCAGTGCTTGAGCGCAGCCTCGACCAGGGGAGTCGTAAAGCTTGTCATTCGCTTCCTGAGCAAGTACTACGCGGCCACTTTGCTCCAGCAAAGGCTCTTTTGCACAGATGATGACTTGGCAGCCACAGTAGCAGAGATCTCGCAGAGTCCTTTTGGGCAGTACCATGTAACCTTGTGGGACAGGATCCGCAATTTCAAGGTTGAAGAGCTGCAGGATTTTGTCCGGAGTGCTTTCAATTTTGGAACCAGCGTTGCCGGGGACACTGAACCCATGAAGCTTTTTCTGGCAAAGGTAGTGGAGCCGTGCCTGAAGATCAATGTTAATACTGCGGACGAGACTCTGACCCGCCTATCTGCTCAGTTCGTTCCAGCCTTGACTTCCAAAAGACTGAATGCCACTTAGCTGCAGACCTTTTGGAAAAGATAATATATATATATATATATTTAGATATATAGATATATATAGGGTATTATAGGATATTATAGGATATTTTAGGATATTGTAGGATTATATAGGATATTATTAGGATTATATAGACAAGATAAACCAAGATACTATGTAAAGTAGGCATGTCACTGTCAGCAGAGTCCCTGATTCTATAGATGCACTCCTGATATCTCCTGAGTTCTCCTGATTCTATAGATGCACTCCTGAATTCCTTTGGAATCTTTCAGATGGCTTTGATGCTGGTTGGTAGGTTTTGTTATGTTTTGTTCATGTATGTTCATGTCCTTCTTTTAAATCAGGGGTTGCTGAATGATACGGTTTCCAAAGATGCTTTCTTTTCCAACCTGATTGTGAAGGTGGGTCCCTGATTCTATAAATGTGTGTTTTTGTTTGTTTATATTTCTTTTGGCAACCTCATTGTCAAGGTTGGGCTTGTCATGGCGCTCAAAAAAAATATGCTAGACATGAATATGCTAGGAAATGCTTCAATATGAGGCAGGTCTTGATTTTATAGAAAGGGTATGATTGAGACCACTGATTCTATAGGGGCTGGTGTCGCATTTAATTCTTCAGCGCTCCCAGGAAGTTGACCAGCTGAATACAAAGATTGCGCAGTCCATCATCAGCGGCAAGCTCAACGCCAACCCATTCCTTCAAGGCTTGCTGGTGCAGTGCTTGCGCTCGTTGGACCGTGACGTGCATGCCAAGTCGTCTCGTGGCAGGTGGAAGGATTTGTCAGTCACGGAGGAGGAGCTTGTCAGGGACGCAGCCCTGACGCTGTCGATGCACAACAAAAATGTGCAGTTGTGCTCTGCGCTGGGTCAGAACGCAAGGCCGCCGACCTTGCAACTTGACAAACTCTTCGAGCATGGCCTGCCAAATCCAGCACTAGCCTTGATGAGCAAAGAGCAAATGGCCAGGAACCTCGAGATCATCGACCAACAGCTGCCTAGACTGCCGGAGTGGCCACAGTCACGGCTCATTATGGCAGTTGATTGCACCTACCTGTTGAAGAGCTATTCCCAAATGCGCATTGGAGACGTGGATGGTCTGGTCGGAGGCCCCTGGTCCCCAACAGATCTGAGCGAACCCTTTCTGCCCTTTGGTGAATTGAATGCGGCCTCTCGCGAGAAAGCTTCAGTGATGTTGCTGGCGCTGGTGTGGGATCCCCATTTGCGCCGCCGCCGGGGCTTTCCTCTGGCTGCCATGCCAATGAGATTGGGGCCAAACAAAGGTTCGGAGAAAACCCTCGTGAATGCAGGCAACCGCGAAACTTGGATTTCTTCCGTTTGTATCCGTTTGATTCCGTTTGTGGTGTTTAATTTTTTTCAGAGATCGGATTTTGCTTGCTCCTGTGGAAAGTAGATCAGGAAATGCTCCACGTGATTGGTCTGCTTTTGGAAGCTGGGGCGCATTTGATCAGGGGAATCACATTCGACGCCCACAATAGCCATGCCTGGTTCCGAGAAGCGCTGTTTGGCGTATTTGAGAAACTCGATGAGCAAGATCTCGCTGGTGTGCCTTTCTGGAAGAATGTGAGGTATGATCCTCTACCAGCACACGCCTTGCCGCGGCTTCCCATTCGAATTTTGCTCCACCAGGGAAATCCCATCATCCCACTTCCTGGAGCATGTCCCTTGGGTTTGCGTTTGGTTCGGGGTTGGGGGGCGGGGGGGGACAATTTAGAATCGTTCAGAGCCGTTCGGATGGGAATGGATTCACTTATTGAATCTGTTCGAACATTTTTGAATGATTTTGACTGTTGTTAAGGTCATTCCTCAAAAAAACTCTGCTGGGCAATTGACATCTCCTCTACGGACGATCCACTTCGGAAACTTCTGGGCAGATCACTCGGCTGCAAGGCGGCTTGGCATGCCGCCAACCGTATTTCGGAGAAAAGAGCCGATGTCCGACAGTATGAATACGGCCCTATATAATCCATGGTATGTCGTCGAGATTCCGGATTCTTGATTTCCAAATTGGAAGCGTTTTGGGATTGTTTTGGATTTTTTGGTATTATTTGTGGATATTTGTGGAATAATTGAGCGTGACCTGTGATTTGCGTTTGCGTGGCCAGGAGATATTTGGCAAGCCCGCTGTTGTTCCCTGGTCCGTGAGAGGATTTAGCCTGCTCAACCTTTGCGTAGCATTGGTCCAAGTAGCTTGGCGGATGCATTCAGAATCATTTCGAATATTCCAGAACCCTTTGAAGTCTTTGGATCCCTGTGCAAAAAAACATTCGGCGCCCTTTCGCAATATGAGCCGGTGGCACAACTCAGGGATCATTGACGCATCAGTCCATGTCAGTCAGCGAGCGGTTGCAGAACGCTTTGAGTGGCTTTTGCTTGCTGGACATGTTCAAATTCCTGGCAGACGCTCGCTGCCGCCGCCTTGGTTTGCCGAAAGGTTCAGCCTTCTTAGCCGCCGAAACTATGCGCAATCTCCAAAACACAGCGCTTGGTTGCATCGCGCATTGCCTGACAAAGAGCAAGTACGGAAATCCGTGGGCACATGGGCACCAAAGACTCACCGAACTCGCTGTGGAGGAAATGTTTGGAGCTTTAAGGCTGCAATCGCCCTCGGCGCAACTCACAGCACGCTCCTTTTTTCGTGCTTGCGCGCATGAAATGTACAGGGCCAAGAAAAGCAGCAAGACTGTGGAAGCATCCACAGATATCCT